CATATAGTTGTTGGGGATTATCACAGAATTCAGTGTGCTTTTAGAGTTAGTATAAACCAGGAAAATTGCAGGACCACGGACAGTTCCCATGGACAGTTCTAGTGGCATCTTCCTGATATATTTCACATTCAAGGACCCAACAGCAGCTCTTTATCTCTTATGTCTATAGACAGCCTTCTGGGTGTTAAGGGGAGCTCTGGGCCTCATAATATAAAACTCAATTTACTCTATCTAAATGGAGAGTCATCTCTTTAGGTTTGTTCAGATGGTTTTATGTCTCAATGAAGACTTATGGCATCTAATCCAACGATAAGGACAGTAGACCCCTTGAAAGAGAAACTGATCTCCCCTTCTCAGTCTCATCTTATTGAAAACACTCTAGAAAAGAGCTGGGGTCTAATTTCAATTTTATGTCAGTAGATTTTATTTGTATGATAATTATTTAATAAGTATGTAAGTATAAAAAGCAACGTCTTGCCTTAAACATGTAAACTAGCTGATTAGAGTAGACATATTACAATTCTGGCTTAAGTTATGTGACAAAGGTAAATTCAGTTTTGCATTTGTATGGAAAATATATAATACCAATATAAATCAATGCTTCTGTTTGCCAAATCTTCTTATTGCCAATATCATCGCAACTCAAATTGGGTAATTTGTTTCCTTAAATGCCATGGCCATACATATCTGTTTCCCAAATGATACATGACTTACTCAAAGAGAACCAAGCTAGATCCTCTTTAACGAAGGCCCTTATCTATCAATTAATGCATGTTTAAAAAAAAGGGGGTAAATGTAATATTTTCCATAATATACTTTTTACCAAGAGGCAGTTTTCTTGGAAAATGATGGTAAGTTTACCATGTGGAGGGTTAATGGATTTGGGATAATGCAAGCAAATGGAAGGGAACGTATTTATTTACAAACAGTGAAAAGTAAAGTTTCACTGGAACATGCTGTACATTTGGAGGAGGATGTACTGCAAAATGAAATTATAAAAAAAGCAGGTGTGATTTATATTACACAGTATAGCTGAAATAATGCTTGTTGAAATTTAATTATTTTTAAGTATCTATCTTGAACTCACTAAATAAACTAATGGCAAAGTATGATAGTTTGCTTTTATGATATGAATAACAACTAGCAATCTGCTTAATTTTAAAGTTTGTATATTTGTTCTTTTTTCATTTAAATCCTATAATATCCATGACTAGGGGTGTTTTCTTATAAATACAAGAGACTTTGGAAGGATTTTTATACTCAGAAAGTACATGCTTAGAGAATAAGCTTGCAAGGCTCAGCAATAAAGCAAGGTTTAATTTGAATATTCCCCTAAATTATTCAACATTATTCAATTAAATGAAAAAAATCTCGTAAATCCATGCTTAAAAAACACCCACAGTAGCATAATGTAACATGTCTTTGTATAAGATTTGATCAGAAGGCAGTGAAAGCTTTACTGGATCAGTGTTAAGTACATGAAATATATGCAAAATTGATTTTTAAAAAAGTGGTATAAACTGTGATTATTATTTTGGTGAGGCCTGGGTTGGTAATGATATGGTATCAATACTTTAATTCATACTTGATTGGGGAGTTTGAAAACACAGATGTGAATCCTATGGAAAAGTGCTGCCGGGGACTATTAAAAACACTATAATTTAGGTGGTATTTTAATATGATCCTGTTATTCTCAGATCTTACCATCTAAAACATCAGGAAAAAGCAAGTGGTTTCTATTGCAGCCATAGAAACTTAGGTAATAAAATAAAATATAAAGAATTTTAATCCAGTTGAGGAATTAATAGCGAAATGCCAAAAGGGTATGGGAAGTCCACCCCGGAGATACTGAAGAGCAAGATAAATGTCCCTCTGTCTGGCACAGTGTTCGTTTGGCTTGCCTGCAGGAAGAGGACTCAGACCCGCTAATCTGCAAAATTTCCACAGCATCAGTTTCATACTGTCCGGATGCTGCCTTGAGCACAGTTAGCCAATCCACCCGATTAAAGAAAGTCCTTCCAGTGAAAGTCTCCTAATAACTGGAATTTTCTCTGAATAAGGCCTGGCTGTGGTAAATCCAATAAGCCCAATAACAGTGTCTCAGACTGGCTTTTAGTGCTAAACAAAATACCATCTTGATACAACCTAAGCACATATTTCTCCTGTGTAACCTTCGTGTTTTTCCTTTTTCACTGTCAATGACTCGGAACAGTAGCCATCCTGGTACCATACAGAATTGCATACCCTGGAATACAAATATGCCTGTACCTCTCCTTCCCACACTGACTATTACTAATATTATGAATGCCTATATCTTTGGTCTTTAGTGAAGCATTTCTTGATAATGTGTGGTTGCCCTTTTAATAATATTATCAATTCAAGTTTACGCTCATATTAAACATATTTTACCAGATATATTTTTAACTTTTAATGAGAAAACTGAACTTCAAATAAAGACCCATGAAACTAGACAGTTTTTTTTTGAACAATGTAGTTTGAACTATATTTTAATTACAGAAAACCTCTTTTCACAGTAAAATTCATGATTGTAGCTATGAGCCTAATGAAGTAAATAACCCTAAAAATGAATTGTGGTATTTCAACGTTGCTCTGATGGTCTTTCCCATTGTTACATGAAAGACAGTAAAAGTAGTGGGAATAAATTCTATCTTTGTATGGCCTCTTTAGTAAATTCTGACTTCCTCTATCTCACTCTTGCCACTACTTATGAATACAAACCAATCTCTCTGAAGATTCCTTTATATTTTCTTTATAAATTCTTTCCTACAGAATTCCCTAATAACTTCAAGCAATCCTTTTTAGCTCTTGTTCTCCTTAGCACCTATAGCACTTAATGTCAGCATCTTGGGTGAGTCATTCAGCACTTTCTGATATATTTTATTTTTCCATTCTGTAGCTCATGTCTAAATAATCCACAATAGACGTGGGTGGTCTCTTATCCATTACTAATATTGCAAATGCCATGTTTTCTGTCTTCTTACTGTATCTTTTCCAAGGTTAACTTCTTGCCGTTGATTAATGAGTATTGGCAGAATGAAAATCACTCTACTTCATAGCATTTTACTGTTATAAAGAGTCTTGTACATATCTTTCCCCCCAATACAACAAAACCAAGCAATCATTATGTTCATTCTATAAAAGTGAAAACTAAGGCTACGTGAAGTTTACTAATTTGTCATAGCTACAAATCTAATAAATACCAAAAGATACTGAGACTCCAGGACTAATCTCATCTCATGGAATACATAATAACTCTCTTTAATTTTGGGGTGGTTGGGGGATAATGCATATAGGGAAAAAATATTTTCCAAAATCCTACTAAGTCAATAATGCATTCCATTCAGCACACTGGTTAGCATCTTACTTTTCTGTTATCTCTAAACTTCTAAAATCACATTTTTTTAAAGGATAAGTGAAGAGGACATTAGCAAGAATCTTACCATGACCTGCATGCTGTTCTGAACTGTATCCTTAAATTTGGCAGAAGGATTACTTATGGTCTTGGATTCCTTGAATATATTTCCTAAGAAGTAAAAGCCACCTGTTTTAAGGACTTAAAGATAATACTATGGTAAGATTGTAAGTGCATTCCCAAAGGATGGTCAACTGTAGCCATTACTATCCTTTTACAGTGACAAATAGGCAACTTGAGTAGGTGCTACATGGGATCTTTATGTTCCAACATAATATACAGAGGCAGTTTGGAACACTCTGCATCACTGAGTCTATAGGAAGACTTCCCCGAGTCCAAGCTAAAGAAGATAAAGAGAAAGCAAATAGAATCCTTTGAACATGTAAATACTCATAAATATCTACAGCCAGGATTTTAGTGGCCCTACACAGTTATACCCAGAAGCCTATATTTTTCTCTTTACTTAAATGTGCACATGTAGAAACCACACATTTAAAACAAAACCACTTACATAAGAGAGGAGATATAGAAGCCAAGACATGTAGCATTATAAGCAGTCATCCTCTTTGACGAGAAAGAACATCTGTCTCACTTTCCCTATTGAAAAAAATGTTGGATCCCACCATGGAGAATTCCAAATATACATTAATTCTTGACACAGCCCCTGCCCTGTGTATGACCAGCTAAAAGTACGGAATTCCTGATAGTTAATCTCAGCACTCAGGGGCTTCTCTCCCCCAACATTTTAAGCTAATGCAAAGGACAAAGAAACATTTTATGCCCTCACTTTCACAGTCAACTCGAAACCATCATTTTCAAAGGATAACATGGTTTTTAAAAATGTATAAAATTATATACTGGCAATATTAGTATTGCCACTGAGATTTTAAATCCAATACATATAATCAGAGCCACAGGCGCTTAGAACAAACATTTAAAGATTAATCAAGGGAACATACAGAAAGCAGTATTCTTTTTCTTGTTACTTTTTAAAGAAGGTTATGCATATATTCTTCCATAAACATATGAAAGAAATAGATGTAAGAAAAATATTCACACAAAGGGAAATGCATAATTTTTCTCTCACATTGTTGGCGTTTGATGAAAATGGAGATCTAAAAGCTATTTTAGAAAGCTATATCTCTAGGCTGCAGGTATCTCTAAACAGAAAATATTATCTATTCTTTCTGGAAAATACACTTTATAGTCTGCATATCCAATAAACACCAGTAACAACTTAAAAGGAAGTTATTGAAATAAGATGACAGTAAAAGGCAGAAAATACATTGCAAATACCTTTTAATCAAATCACTTCTCTGATTTAACAAGATTCATCACAAGGTTTGAAGAATGAATTTGATAACAAATTCAGATTCAAGACATCTAAATGAGAATTCTTTCCAATAATTTGTGAAAACAATATAAAACTTACTTTACAAGCTCTCCTAGTCAAGCATAAAGATACATTGGGCTTTCACCACTTCTCATTACCGTTTCTTTAGTAAAAATTTAACATTAAAATAGGATGATTTTAAAAACCAGTACATATTTTTAAAACACTACTTACAAATTTTTAATGTCAACTGCTCCACGGAAAGCCTTCCTTGGAATTGCCTGGATTTGGTTTTCACTGAGGTCTCTAAAAAATAACAACAAAAATAAAGAGAATAAGATCAAGCTTTAATGTTTTTAATTATTTAATCAATTTGTTTCAGAAGTGATAGAATACTTCTAAAAATGTACTAAAAACATCATAATGAAATCTATAGCATTTTATGCAATTTCTAATACAAACATTTTATATTTCTAGTATAAATTAAAAGGTTAGACTAAATGGTGTGTTGAAATACTTCTCCAGATCTTTAATTGCATAATTAATTCTAGAATACGGTTCTCTTAAATTTAAGAGCTGATTCAATTCTGTGCAATAAAATATTTATTTAAAACAAATAGCAAAATTTTTCATAACTCAATTTCAAGGGGTTCTAAAGTATTAGCACTGATATTTCTATATAACTTATAAAGCATATAGGAAAGCAGTCCATTTTAACATTCAAGAGCAAAGAGAGCAAAAACTGATAAAATCTGAGCAGTATGATTAAGTTTTCATAGCACTTTAAGTAATCTTGAAAATGGAACATGGCAGTACTAACCCAGCAATCAAACCAACAGTTCTTGCATGAAATATTAACAGCAAATTGAATTAAAACCTTCTTTAAATAATTCTACTATAACCATAAACACAGCTTGTCTATATTTGCATTTTAATTTAATTGAGAAATACATTTTAATCAAAAGAGAAAAGCACTCTAAGTTGTAATGAGAAGTTAGTAAAAACAAAAAAAATCACTCATCTCATGAACTAGATCTTTTTTTACATTCCGAGTTCATATGCAATTCTATGTGCTCAGGTAGTGTTATTAGCCTTAAAAATTAGGCTATAAATACATAATAAGCAATGCCACTGGAAAGCAGAAAATGCTTACCTCATGTTAAGCGGCACTACTACATAACAGAGAGTTGAAATATCAAATAAATAAATGATTAAAATAGCCAGAATGGTGTTAAAATTATCACTAAAATTTTAAGATAACTGCTGCTTACAAAGAAATGCGAAGCTACAAACCAAGAAGCATAGATGATGGAAACAGCTATTTTCCAACAATGTGGAGGCAAACTGGACAGATTCATACTGAAGCTTCTCATGGCCAGAGTTCCTTGTTCATTTATGGCCCCAGCATAAGTGTAACTGGCAGATGGAAAGATTTAATGTGTGGTCTTGACCTCATTAACACTGTTTTAAATAACTAAGATTTGTATTTATATCCCACTATCCAGTGTTCAAAAAAAATGTTTGCTAAGCAATTTGTAAAGAAATAAATATTAGTCTATTTAAAGAGGAAAGGTCTTTAGCAAAAAAACAAAACAAAAAAAAAACACAAAAACAAAACAAAACAAAACACAAACACAAAAGGAAGCAAAACCACATACATTATTTCCAACAGTAAGTGTGGAATATGTGCTCATGTGGAAGTCCAGGCAGCTACCCATTCCCTAAGCACGGTGGCTCTGTCACTGCTTCCAACTGTTTTGGGAAATCCCTAAGAGTGATAAAGCTTAATTTCCTTAAGAAGCCCTTATTTTTCCAGCTTGTCTTTAATTAAGACCAACTTCCTTACCTTGTTTACTTCCTTACTTTGTTTAATGACAGGGAGTTAACTATGTGTATTTGAAAGTCCTGATAAGAGAAACAGTGTTCAAAGGAGGCTACTGAGCAAGGAGGAGGTAAAGAGAGATATTAGAGAAAGAAAAAAAAAATCAGAAATAAGAAATGAAGAGGGACAAAAGATAGAATTCCAGCAAATTTGAATCTATAAATTAGCTCCCTGAAAACCAGCAGTAGTGGCTCTACTGTTGTATCGCTATTAATCCAATACATTCCCAACCAGCTAGCCAGAGCCATTTCCTTCACCACATGCGGGCTCACCTCTCTCAGTCTCTAGGCACAATTTATCCCAGGGTCTCAGTCTCCAATGGGGAGACATGGAGTCGGGGGAAACGCAGGGGATATTTTTATGTGAAGCAGGAGGCATCACTGAAGATCACTGGATTGCAGTCAGAACCAATTCCTTCTGAATTTGATTTTAGTTTTGATTTCAGTCCTGCTGATTTAGTTCTTTTGGTTTTAGGCAGAATTCTAGGCCAGGGAAGGTTTTATCTGCAAACACTTACCAGTCTGTTCTTTTTACAAAAGAGTGAGCAACTGTCTGTTTCAGAAGCTCCTTCCTCCCCTCAGGTCAGTGGTGTCTGTGTGGATTGTGTGCATCACTTCCCAACAGTTCTATGGGGTCTCTGCCTGTGCTAGCTCACTCTGCAGGAGACTCCAGTGTGGACCTCAGGCTTCTTCAGGGAAGTGGGCATGGTCACTCATGACAGGAGGAAATTACTAAACACATTTTCAGTGCCTACTGTATTCAATAGTTAATTTTTAAAATATATATTTTTATTCATTTCAGAGAGAAAGTGAGAGAGAGAGAGATAGAGAGAAACATCCATGATGAGAATCATGGATTGGCTGCCTCCTGCATACCCCCAACTGGGGATGTGCCCACAACCAAGATACATGCCCTTGACCAGAATCAAACCTGAGACCCTTCAGTCAGCAGGCCGACGCTCTGTCCACTGAGCCAAACCAGTTTTGGCTTAATAGTTAATTTTAAGAAAAAATAGAGTATCAAATGCGATCTATATTTTCTTTAATCTCCATAACCATCAAGTAAAGCAGGTATTATCATCCTAGTTTTACAGGAAAGGAAACTAAGCTTCAGGGATATCAGGCATCAGTGCTGAATGATGAGACATTGTTAAAGTAAATGTATAGAAAAAACAGATAAATATTAAGTCCAGGGTTAGGGATTTTAAAGGTGATACCAGGAGCCACTTAATCAATCTCAATGTGTCCTTCCTGTGGCTTAGAATTTAGAAGGCTTTTTCTTAATGCATTCTAGCTTCTGATTTATGTCATTCACAAAACGATGGGTAAGATGGTGTTAGAAGAATGACTCGTATTTTCTACAAAGAATCAAGTGGGGATTAGCTGTTATTTCTAACCAACACATTTATTGAATATGTGCAAGAAACTGGAAGATGTTGCTAGGATAGCTGAACTGTGTAAAGCCCATTCCTGGCTTCAGGAATTTTCAAATCCAGTAAAGATCATGCTTCTTGCCAAATGAGATGTAAAATGTGAGAAAACATAGTATGGAGAAAGGCAATGTGAATGTGGTAAGATGTAAAGGTAGAGGGCAGGGTGAGGGTCAGACCTTCCAGTAAAATAAATTGTACAGGCAAGAATATGGAGGTGGACAAAGAGAAGATTTATGGAAGTAGCTTTTGGTCAGGTTTGTTTAGAGTGGAGTAATGGGAGATGAGGTTGGAAGGACAAATCAATGGTGTAGACTTTTTGGTACCAATTAAGGAGCGAGTTCTTGTTTTAGCAATGGTGGGGATGGAAGGGTAATGGACAGAAACAGGACAGAGGTTCTTCCTTTGATACAATAAACTGGCAACCAATACCTGGGGTCAAAGACTCACATTCTGAAGGCCACATACAAGACTTGTTCTGGCTGGAAAAAAGATAGTGAGAATCTCAAGCAATGTAAGAATCATGAACACATGGCTTGCTTACCCTGGGCCAGTTAATGGGTGAGGCATCTCTCGCTGTAGATAGAAAAGGTGGAGAAGATAACCAGTGGTATCATAAACACATGAAGAACCAAAACTTAGAAGTAAATTGTCTGTGAATATGGATTAGGCAAGTATGAGAGGAGACAGAAGTGACTTTGAACTTAGGTTCGGGGGACTGTAAACAAAATTGGGAAATCAGAAGAGCAAGTTGCAGTGTCCATATGAGTTAGAGAGATTTGATATATATCACCCAGTTTGATGGCCACAAAATTAATATATGGTAAATAGGCAATGTGTGATACCTGAGAAAGGTGATCTAGAAGGTCACAGAGGTACTAAGAGTCATTGGAGGATTGATGGATTCAAGCCACTTTCAAAATACAATGGGATCTTTTTGAACCTGGATAATAATGATTGAGTTCAGTAATTCTCAGCCTGCAATAATGGGGAAGGGGTGGTAGGTGATGACGGGCAGGAATCCAAGAAGAGAGGCAGGATACCAGAAGAATTACTAGCATAGACTGCAGACCTCGACTATCAGAGATTAAATTCTAGCTCTGCCATTTATTAACCACTAGAGGCCTGGTGCATGGATTTGTGTGCCAGTGGCGTCCCTCGATCTGGCCTGCAGGGATAGGACTGAAACCTGCTCTCCAACATCTCCCAAGGGGTCTCGGTTTGTGAGAGGGTGCAGGCTAGGCTGAGGGACCCCACCTCTGCATGATGGGGCCTGGGAAGGGACCAAGGGAGGGCTCCAGGGCGTGTCTGGCCCATCTCACCCAGTCCTGATACACTGCACCCGAGCAGCAAGCTAACCTACTTTTTGGAGCGACTGCCCCCTGGTGGTCAGTGCATGTCATAATGACTGGTCGAATAGTAGAATGAATGGTCTGACACTTAGCATATTAAGTTTTTATTATATAGGATGTGACCTTGGGAAGACTGTATACCTTTGTGTGTGTGTGTGTGTGTGTGTGTGTGTGTGTGTGTGTGTGTTTCAGTTTCTTTACCTGTAAAATGAAACAATAATTGTGCCTACCTCCTAGGACTGTTAGGTGGATTCAATGAATTTATACTTTAAAAAATGCTCAAAATACCTGCCACATGATAAGCACTACAGAGATGTTGATTATATATATGTTACAATTATTCCACTAGGAAATGCTACATGCCCTGAGTGTATTTGCTTTGTTCCCTGAAGATTACAGAAAAAAAAAGTGAAACATAACTTATGGTAATGTTCTGTGAACTGTGTGGAACAAGAAGAATGAGTCAGAACTACTGAGTTAGTGAGATGGAGCTGCCAAGGATAGTCTGTAATTATATCACTAGGCAATAGAGTGTAAAAATGTATTCCAAAGTAGGGAAGTGGCTTGATTGGAGTTGATTTTTAGGAAGATAAAACTGGAAATTAAATTTCAGAGCAGGCAAGGACAATGAGCAGTGAAGTCA